CCCCTCTTCCCCCACCCCCACCACAATATAGCTGTACTTCCTGTGGTGTTCTCAGGGATTTGTGTGACCTGCTCCCCAGCACCATCAGCCATATAGCTGGGCCAGTATAGGGGTTAAAGGGCCTGAAAGCTACGCTCGCTGGAGAGAACCCATGCCTCACCCTGGTTTATGTTACCTTCCCCTCAGGTCACCTCCGAGGCAGACGTTAAAAGTGCTGTGGCCCTGGCCAAGGAGAAATTTGGCCGCCTGGACATCGCGGTGAACTGCGCGGGCATCGCAGTGGCAGTGAAAACCTACAACTTCAAGAAGGAGATTGCTCACAGTCTCGAGGACTTCCAGAGAGTGATCAACGTAAGCAGTGAATGATCAGAGGGAGGAATCGGCTTGTGCAGGGACAGTGGGATTAGGAACAAAAACAAAGTTGCTGGAGAAGCTCAGCAGGTCTGGCAGATCCCGTGAAGGAGAAAGCAGAGTTAACGTTTCAAATCCGATGACCGTTCCTCAGAACTCGGAGAGTGGGATTAGGCTGGGTGGGATATTAAAGGGAGTGGGGAGAGGGGGATTAGACTGGGTGGGATATTAAAGGCTGTGGGTAGTGAGGGGGATTAGACTGGGTGGGATATTGAAGGGAGCAAGGAGAGGGGGATAGACTGGGTGGGATATTAAAAGCTGTTGGGAGTGAGGGGAGAGGGGGAATCGGAGATGGGTGGCATATTAAAGGGAGCGGGGAGACGAGGATTAGACTGGGGTGGGGGATATTGAAGGGAGCGGAGAGAGGGGCATTAAACTGGGTGAGATATTAAAGGGAGTGGGGAGAGGGGGATTAGACTTGGGTGGGGGATATTGAAGGGACCAAGGAATTGTAGTGCCGTGGTAGTATCCCTTTCTCTGGGAGGTGATGCTTGGGTTGAAGTCCCACCTGCTCCAGAGGTCTTTCATACCACCTCTGAACAGGTCGATCAGAAAATATTGATGTAGGAATGCGGGACTGGGGAAAGAGGGGAACAGCGACCAGATCAGATTAGGTTTTGTTGTCATTTGGAGTGAGTGCAGATTTGGACAGCCGTGTAAAACGATGAACCCGAATGAGCCATTTCACTGCTGGTTTGTCTTACGCACAACCCCCACCCCCAGGTCAACATCGCAGGGACCTTTAACGTGATTCGTCTAGCTGTCGCTGAGATGGGGAGGAATGAACCAGATGCAGATGGTCAGCGGGGCGTGGTTGTCAACACTGCTAGTGTTGCTGCCTACGATGGACAGGTAACTACCTTCACCCTCATTCCCAGCCCATTCCCTTTCCTACTTATCCTCCATGTGGCCCCTGGGTGCCTGCTGGCGTTCTGGGTCATGGGATAAAGGATATGGCTTGAACCCAGCCTGTTGGGCAGCAACACGGGCTTGTATTTTTGTTCATTCATGTGACCTGGGTGTCGATGGCTGGGCCCAGCATTTATTGCCCATCCCTAATTGCCCAGAGGGCAGTTAAGCGTCAACCACATCGCTGTGGGTCTGGAATCACATGTAGGCCAGACTGGGTAAGGATGGCAGTTTCCTTCCCTAAAGGACATTAGTGAACCAGATGGGTTTTCCTGATAATTGGCAGTGGATTCTTGGTCATTGGATTTATTATTGTCACATGTACCTTGGTACAGTGAAAAGTTTTGTTTTGCCTGCAGTATAGGCAGATCATACCATACAAAGTGCATTAAGGTAATAGAACAGAGCGAGGAATACAATGTTAGAGCTGCAGAAAAGGCGCACTGATAGCGAGGTCAACATTTTAAGTTTTAAAATTTGAAAAGTCCATTTGAAAGTCTGATAACAGCGGGGAGAAAGCTGTTCTTGAATCTGTTTGTGTGTGTATTCAAACTTTTATATCTTCTGCCTGATGGATGAGAATGGAATAGAGTATAACCAGGCTGGGAGGGGTCTTTGATTATGTTGGTTGCTTTCCCGAGTCAGTGGATGGAAGGCTGGTTTGCGTGATGGACTGGGCTGTGTTCATGACCCTCTGCAGTTTCTTTTGGCAACTGCTCTGCCCAAGACCGCACCACACTGTGATGCACCCAGATAGGATGCTTCCTGAGGTGCATCTACAAGTCCTTGTGTACATGCTGAATTTCCTTATCCTCCTGAGGAGGTAGAGATGTTGTTCTGCTTTAATGTGTCGTCATGAGACTCTTAATTCCAGATTTTTATTGAATCTAACGTCCCCCATCTGCCATGGAGGGATTCGAGCCCAGTACCCAGAACATTAGTGGCTTTGCGGATTGGTTGTCTAGTGGGGTACAAGCATGAACTGACTCCTGGCCACTGATGCACAGCACATGGGATCTGAAGCCATTGTAATACAAGGCACCAGTCAGACTACAGCTGGGATCTGGTGAGCAGTTTTGGGGTCCCATTACTTAAGCAACGATGTACTGTCCTTTTGGAGGCAGTCCAGAGAAAGTTCACGCTGCTGATCCCGGGACGGAGGGGACTGCCTTGTGAGGAGAGGTTGAGTCGGTTGGGGCCTGTACTCGCTGGAGTGTAGAAATATGAGAAGTAACCTTTATTGAACCACACTTGGGGGACTTGACAGGGTAGATGCGGGGAGGTTGTCTCCCCTTTTGGGAGAGTCTTGGACCAGAGGGGCATCATCTCTGAATAAGGTGTCGCCTGTATTAGGACGAGATGGGGAGGAATTTCTTCTCTCCAAGGGGAGTGAATCTGTGGAATCCTTTACTGCAGAGCGTTGTCAAGGCTGGCTCATTCAGTATATTCAAGGCTGACAGATTTTTGATCAGGAAAGGAATCGAGGGTTATGAGGAAAGTGGAGTTGAGGATGTTCTAATCACCCATGATCTCATTGGATAGTGGAGAACTTGATGGGCTGAATGGACTGCTTCCTCCATCCCCCTATATTCTGGTCTCCACTTAGTAGCTGAACCGCGTACAGAGAGATCCCACTAAGAGACAATGTGTGATTGTGACACAGGTGGACTTGTTTGAAGTGACGTTATTGACGCTCAGGACAACCTGAGGATCCGTCTAAAACCCACCCCCCCACCCCCATGACCACCTGGGAGGCCGCTCGGGATCTTTCAGCGGGTGAGCAGGGTCTAGGGTTTGTTACCTGATCCTCAGGGAGGCTGCCTCTGAGTGTGATCTGTCAGGCTGATCAATCCCATCTCCTTGATTACTGATGCCCATTCGCAACACGAAGGCGACAGGGTGTTGAGAAGGGAAAACGTGACTGACTGATCCAGAGCGTCATCAGAAACATTGCCTTTTCGTCTTGCACCCTCGCGGTCTCTCTCTCTGGATTGAAGGCAATTGACTTGCGTTTCCTCCTCTCCATCCCCCTAACCCACCACCCACCCAATTGTAGGTAGGACAGGCAGCGTATTCGGCCTCCAAAGGTGGAATTGTCGGCATGACCCTTCCCATTGCCCGGGACTTGGCACCCCAAGGGATCCGTGTGGTCACCATCGCACCAGGTACGCTGAATGGGTGTGGGTGGTGAGGGATGGGGGAGGAATGGTAACCAGTGGTGTGGGGGGTGGACTGAGTGGGATATTAAAGGGAGCGAGGAGGGGAAGAGTGGGATCGGGCTGGGCGGGATATCGAAGGGAGTGAGGGGGAGAGTGGG